TCAGAGTTGGGAGAGGTCTTAAAACATAGAATATTGGAGTTGGGAGGGCCCTTGGAAATCATCTAATCCAATCCCATTACTTGACAGATGTGAAAACGAGGACCTCTGAGGGAAAATGATTTGCCCAAGGATGTAGATCTTAGCAACAGGGCTTGGTCTAGAACCTGAGTTGGAGGTGGGGATGGTAGGATGTCTGAGCTTCCCTGGCTGCTGGGGCAGAGCCACTCCCTCACCCCGTTCTGCCTGTCCTTTCCCACAGACACTCTCCCATTCCATCAAGATGGCGGACCAGAACTTTGAGAAACTGAAGACGGAGTCAGAGAGGCTAGAACAGCATGCCAAGAAGTCAGTCAACTGGCTCCTGTGGATCATGCTCATCTTTGTCTGTTTCATCTTCATCAGCATGATCCTCTTCATCAGGATCTTCCCGAAGTTAAAATGAAGCCAGGGGCTGGCCAGCTGGCACGTGGACAAGAGTTGGGGGGAAGTAGGGGCAGGTCTGGACTTCAGAAACAATCATTTGCCTCCCAGAGTTTCCTTCCAAACACTCGGGAACATAGGGCAGGAGGGTCTTCCTCAAAAGGAGGAGAATAAAATGACGTCTCCATACTTTCAGTGAATGGTCTGTCCTCGGTCTTTCTAGCTGTGTGACCTGGAGGACGTCACAGCCCTCCTCTGGTCCCATCTCCTCATCGTAAAATGTAGAGTTTGGACCCACTCAGAGTCCTGCAGCTCTGATGATTCTGTAGGTTGTGACTGAAGTCCTAGCCTCAGATCCATACCTGACGAAAGACTGGCTCCAGCCTTCTTGGTGCCTTTGCAGAATTCAGCTCAGCAAACAGTGGGTAAGGGCTTGTAAGGCACAGGACCCAGTGCTCAGCATTGGGGACTCAGACACTGGAAAATGACACAGTTCCTGCCTTCTGGGAGCTTGCAGTCTAGCAGATGGGTAAGATGTACTCAAGCACAATACACCATGTAAGGTCAGGCAGACACAAGTATGGCATGCAGTAGAGGGTGATCTGGCAGTAGAGGTCAAATGGAGAGGGGTGAGGGCTTGGAAAGAGAGGGGTTATTCCTGTCCAGGGCACCAGAGAAGGCTTCATGGAGGAGGTAACCGCAGAGCCACTTGAGCGGCTCTGAACCCCACAAAAAAGTAGTGAGGAAGGGCCTCTTCCCTCTCCCTCTCCCCCACCCCCATATCCAATCTGTTGTCAGATCAGTAAGGCCTGCCTCCCCCAAATCCATTCACATAATCTCCACCCTCCACGCCCTTCTCACCTCTTTTATCTAGGCTATTATAATTGGTCTTCCTTACTTTGTCTCTCCCCACTTCAGTCCAGCCCATGCCAAGTTAATATTCCTAAAGCCCGACTCTGATTGTCACTCCATCACTCAAGAAACTTCACTGACACCCTATTGCGTTTTTCTTATATGGAAAAATCAATTTATTCCATCATAAGCCCTTACACATAGTCATGGACAGTAATAGTCTGCTGGCTGGACAAGTTAGCCTAAAGGACATTGTATAAACAAACAAATAATCGAAGACTAATTTGTATGGAGTTTGTTGGGGGGGGCGGGGATGTTTTCAAAGAAAGAAAAACGAAGAAAAGCCATCCAGAATTAATTTTAAAGCACAGGTCAGCTACCCATTACTCTTCGGGTTACTGGGCAATCTATCAGTGGTACATCTGTCAGATAACGTACACCCTTTATTTTTTTGATGAGGCAATCAGGGTTAAGTGACTTGTCTAGGATCACACAGCTAGGAAGGGCCAAGTGTCTGAGGTCAGATTTGAACTCAAGTCCTCCTGACTCCAAGGCTGGAATTCTATCCACTGTACCACCTAGCTGCCCTTGTACACCTTCTTTATAACCTGAGGGGGAAAAAATTCACAGAATGGAAAGAAATAATATGAAAATATAGCTCAAGAAATCCACTAGAAAGCAAAGCTATATGGGAAGGTGAGCAAAGATATCTTGCAGGTATGTACAGTTACATTTCACATGGCTGTTTGTCCCCCACTTCTCAGTGCCCTCCCAGCTCTGCCATCCTGTGTTCTAAGGGCCCTCCCAGCTCTGACATCCTGCATTCTAAGGGCCCTCCCAGCTCTGACATCCTACATTCTAAGTGTCCTCCTAGCCCTGACATTCCCTGTTCTAAGTTCCTTCCGGTTCTGACATCCTGTGTTCTAAGGGTCCTCCCACTTCTGACATCCCTCCCACTAGATGAGAAGTGGGGGATAAAATAACATAATATACCAACTCCTCTGTTTGGCATTTAAAGCCCTTCACAGTCGATCTCCTGCTTACCTTTCCAAACTGATTTCCCATTTCTACCCTTCTCACAATCTACATTTCAGTCGAACTGACCCACATGCTGTTTCTTGTGCAAAACATCTCATCTCCCATCTCCAAGTCTTTGCCCAGGTTATTCTCCATGACTGGAAAGCATTCCCTTCTTACTTGCTTCTTAAAATCCCTAGCTTCCTTTAAGGTTCAGCCCAGGTGCCACCTCCTACAAGAAAACTTGCCTGATGTCTTCCATTCTGAGAACCTCTATCGATTTGTATTTACTTCTCTGGGTTGGAATTGTTTCCCCCCGTTGGAATGTAAACTCTGTGAGGGCAGGGAATGTTTTTAGTTTTGTCTTTGAATCCACAGTGCCCAAAATATAGTAGGTGCTTAATAAAAACTTGATGAATGAATGAATGAAGATAAAATTTGGCAAGGGGAAAATGTAAAATCTTACACTTGGGTTCGAAAAAACCCCAACTTTGAGGGCAGAGCCAAGATGGTAGAGAAACGGCAGGGATTTGCCTGAGCTCTCCCCTAAACCTCTCCCAACAACTTGAAGTAATGCCTTAAAATAAATTCTGGAGCAGCAGAACCCACAAAAAAAAAGGGTGAAACAATTTTCTAGGCCAAAACAACTTAGAAGGTTGGCAGAAAAGGTCTGTTGCACTGGGGTGAGAGGAGTTCAGTCCAGCACAGGCCATGCCCCAGCAAACCAGCAGTAGGACTTGGGGGCAGTTGAATCAGTGGAAGTTTCCAGATCTCTCAACCCACAGACGGTAAGGGGCTCAGACAACTGTTCAAAAGGAAATTACAAGGGTCCCTTTGCTAGCACCCGGGGCAGGACTCTGCTGCATTACCCATACTTGGATCTATGTCACAATCCTGGGTCACAGGCTGAGGGCAAGGAGGAGCACTAGTATACTAGAGTTCATGGCTTCAGGGGAGCTGGGACCCTGGTCACAGTTCCAGGGCAGAAAACAGTGCTTGTGCTCACTCACAAACCAGAGCACAGGCCAAGAGAGTGGTAAACACACATCTTAGATCACACCACCTTGGAAGAACCAAAAACTTACAGGTCCCCAGAATTATCTCCGAAAATAGCTTGGGACAGTGCCCCCTCCAATCCAAAAGCAGAGTCCACTTTAGCATAGAGTTATAAGTCAAGAAATAGGCTGGGAAAATGAGCAAACAGCAGAAAAAGATCCTAACTATAGAGAGTTACTGTGGTGACAAGGAAGACCAAAAACACAAACTCAGAAAAAGACAACAAAGTCAAAACTGCTACATCCGAAGCCTCAAAGAAAAATACGAATTGGTCTCAGGCCATGGAAAAGCTCTAAGAGGATTTTAAAAATCAAGTAAGAGAGGTAGAGGAAAAATTGGGAAGAAAAATGAGAGTGGTGTAAGAAAATCATAATAAAGGAGTCAACAGCTTGGTGAAGAAGTTATGCACACCCACACCAAAATATACATATATATATACTGAAGAAAATAACACCTTAAAAAACAAAATAGGCCAGATGGTAAAAGAGGCACAAAAATCTAATGAGGAGACAAATGCTTTGAAAAGCAGAACTGGCCAAATGGAAAAAGATATACAAAAATTCACTGAAGAGAACAACTCCTTAAAAAGTAGAATTGGCCAAGTGGAAAAGAAGGTGCAAAAGCTCACTGAAGAAAATATTTCCTTAAAAATTAAAATTGAGTAAATGGAAGCTAATGACTCCATGAGACATCAAGAATCAATTAAACAAAATCAGAAGAATGAAAAAATAGAGAAAAATGTAAAATATCTCATTGGAAAAACAACTGACCTGGAAAATAGATCCAGTAGATTCATTCAAGAGAAGGAGTCGGAATTATTATGGTATTAAAAGAGATAAAATATATTGATAATATACAATGCTATACATGTTGTCTGCAGCTTCTGCAAAACTCCCCAAAAACTCCCATTTAATTTCTTATGCCCACCCACAATATATCAAAACCACAATGGAGAAAGTCAAGATGTACAAAGGATAATGTATAATCCTTCAGGGGGGAAATGGATATTTAGTGAAATAGAATACTTTCAAGTATTCCTGATGAAAAGACCAGAGCTGAATAAAAAATTTGACTTCCAAATACAAGACTCAAGAGAAGCATAAAAAGGTAAACAGGAAAGAGAAATCATAAGGGATTCAATAAGGTTAGACTGTTTACATTCCTACATGGGAAAATCATATTTGTAACTCCTAAGAACTTTATCATTTTTAGGGTAGTTTACAAGGAGTATACATAGACAGAAAGCACGGGTGTGAGTTGAATATGATAGGATAATTATCCAAAAATGAATAAAGGGATGAGAAAGAGGAATGCATGGAAGAAAGGGAAAGGGAGAGGTAGAATAGAGTAAATTATCTCATATGAAAGAGGTGAGAAAGAACTTTTACAATGGAAGGGAAGATGGAGGGGGTGGGGTGGGCCCATAAACCTTGCTCATCAGAATTGGTTCAGGGTGAAAGGAGAGAGAGTAGGATAAACAGGAGGAAAATAAGATGGAGGGAAATACATGGTAATCATAGCTGTGAAAAAAATGTATAGCAAGTTTCTCTGATAAAGACCTCATTTCTCAAATATGTAAAGAACTGAATCAAATTTATAGAAATAAGAGCCATTTCTCAATTGAGAAATGGTCAAAGAATGTGAACAGGTAGTTTTTAGACAAAATAATCCAAGTTAATCTGGAGGAGGAAGAGGAGGAGGAGGAGGATATGATTGTGATGGACAGACTTACATGAACTGATGCAAAGTGAAATGAGCAGAACCAGGAGAACATTGTACACAGTAACAGCAATATCATACAATGATCAACAGTGAATGAATTAGCTATTCTCAGCAATACAATGATCCAAGACAATTTTGGACTTATGATGAAAAATGCTATCCATTTCCAGAGAAAGAACTGGAGTTCTAAGGTGGAGTCTAAATGCTAATTGAAGCATACTTTTCTCTATTTTCTTTATTTTTCTTAGGGTTTTTTTTGTCTGTGTTTTCTTTTACAACATGACTAACATGGAAATATGTTTTGCATGACTGCACATGTATAACCTATATCAAATTGTTTGCCTTCTCAATGAGGGGAAAGGGAGGAAGAGAATTTGGAACTCAAAATGTTTTTAAAACAAATGTTAAAATTGTTTTATATGTAATTGGGGGGAAATAAAAATATTAAATTAAAAAACCCCAACTTCCCAAGTACACGATGGGTGAAATATAACCATGGAGCAGTTGGCCTGAAAAAGACATGAGGGTTACTGGTCTGCAAGCTCAAT